CCAGTTTGTCCGGCTGCTCTGAAACGGGGGGTGGGGTGGAACCATGCGTGATATCTGACCGTACCATACATAACGCAGTGAAACACATTGGGGTGATTTTGAGTTTCTGAATTTACTACAAAAAAATCTTAAATCTAAATAATGTTCTCGTCCGACATGGATGCAACGGACTTTAACTTTTTATTATCTTTCGCGGGCCACGATAAATGGCATCGTGGAGCCGCCACTTGGACAATCCTGATATAGATGGACGGGACCTGTTTTCACACAGGCCACATTAACCAGTTCAACAGATACGACAATCTAGAGAACAAGTTGTATAGGTATAGTTTTGGAAATTAGATTGGACTAATGTTACTTAAAAGTCGGGTAACTTCATTTACGTATAGTGTAGTGCGTACACCAAAGAAATATACTGCCGGAGAACACCGTAAATCTGTTTTCTCGGATCCGTACGATAATGTCCCGCCCCCCCCTCTCTCCCTCTCCTCTTTCTCTCTCTTTCACTCTTCTGTTTCTTTCTCTCTTCTTTCTCTCTCTTTCCCCCTCTCTTTCTCTTTCTCTCTCTCTCTTCCTCTCTCTCTCTCTGTCTCTCTCTCTCTCTCTCTCGTGAATTCCCGATGACGGGAGCGGCTGTGGGGGTGGCGGTGGTCCTCTGGGAGGCGACGGAGGAGCAAGGGCTGGCGCAGCGCCGGCCGCGGGCGATGGGGACTCTGGTGTGTCCCTCCGCCAGCGCCTGCGCCAGCGAGCGCCCGCCGCCCACATTCCACCGTAATCGCCACCCGCTGGACGTGCGGCCCCGCCCCCTTCCCCTCCCCCCTGCCCCCGCGCGCTACACCTTACGATGGGCAATTGGGATGCGGGCAGGGGCGCCAGCTCCTCGCTGTGCCTCGCATACGGCACATGCCGCCATGCACGCTCCTCCAACACTCGCCTCATTTGTTCCACGCAACGCTAATTGCAAATGCACTATTTCCATTCACGCACATTGTCGTCTATACATACATTCGGCATGAACAAGGTGAATTGCAGGTATGAATATGTAGAGTTAGTGCGGAGTGATGGATCTGCGTCTTGTACAGAACAATTATTATAGTTATTGTTCTATATCCGCCCTTATGTCTTTTACTATCTTCGAATATTAGAATATTGCATACCACATATATCCGTAAACCGACAATTGCACATGCACAAGATCAATAACAAGAAGTTGTTATGTGAATGCAACAGATATTAATCTATAATAAATTAATGTAAATCAAATTATCGTGATTTTAAGTAAAATATTGATCTTTAGTAAAACAACTGGTGCTCTTGTGTCGTAAACTGTTGAGTACAAGTCCTAGCTGATGATTCGAAGAAATTTCAGTGACATTCTAATTCAAATGTACCAAAGACAATATTTTTCAGTCTACTTTTTAGTATCAAAATGTAGTTTATTGTATACCTATAAATCAGTAAGGATTATTTTAAATAAGGCAGGATTGGCAATTGGCAGAATATCCAAGAGCATTGTCTCGGCCTATTCACGATTATTCAGCGATTGTGAGTTTTCCTCAAAATAATTGTGTAACTAGATGATGCGGCCTGATGGTGTAAGAGGAGGTAAATGATTTTCCGTGTGCGACGGAAAGTGTTCCAAAAGTACTCCCTCCAAATTCGTTCATCACACACACACACACACACACACACACACACACACATCCTGATGAATTATTCTATTTCGGAGAATACAGTATTGTTTGGAAGATTAGATAAAGTGAGTGCCTTTCCATTAATGAAACGTTTTCCTGGAGATTATTCTATGCCGTCTCACGTGTTGCCTATAATATTTTGTCGAGATACTCGTAATAAATGGCGATTTATTGAATAATTCTGAGGGTCGGAGGTATAGGACACTATGTCACATTTACTAAATTTTACAGGAGAGCTGAAGGTTTGCATACCTGTAAGTGAAAGTGGACTTGGTGTTATTTTATAGCACCGTAACTCCGCCGTTATTAGATGTAGGACATAGTGTAGTATACCTCTGGATAGAGGGCAAAATGCTCATATTATTGTACCAATAATTTCATTTTGGCCAAAAATGGACATAGTGTCCTATACCTCCGACCAGCAGAATTCTTCTATAGAAGCACGCGGCGAGGGCCCTTCCTTCAATCATCAGGGCTCTTCAATCATCTTCACGTCAATCATCAGGGCTCTCCACCGACCCTCCGGCGACGACGGACAAAGGGACCGCAGCAGGTACCCGCTTCGGTCCCTTTGTCCGTCGTCGACGAAGAGCCCTGATGATTGACGTTCGCGCGCTTCTGTCGCGGCGTGGACAAGTGGTCTAAGGCCGGAGGCCTTAGGAGTCTTGGGTGCGCCGGGGCCGCAGCGTGGACGCTCTCCGCTCATTCGCGCACGCTCGTAAACCGCGTGGCGGGGGCGGGGGCCCGGGCGGGGCTTTGTTTTTCGCCTGGCGGCGGCCGAAGGACGCGCGTCGCCCGCGTAGTCCCATTCGCTGCAAGCGCGATTCCTCGAGCGCCAACACAAACAAAAATCTACCGTACATATACAAATACATCTGTAGGATTACTAGACAGTGCAGGCGTACCGTGCGAAACATACATATATATGCCATACATATACATCTACAGGTTATTAAACAATGCAGGTGTACCGTACGATGTGAGAAAATGGAAACGTAACGAAGCGATCGCATCTAGCAGATTCAGTTCCTTACAGGAAAAGACGAACCGATTTTGCAAGTTCCTCTAAGTGAGAACTATTGCTATATAAAAAGTGATATACACCTTAGTTACAAGCGCGATAAACTTTTCATTTCAACAACTTGTGTTTCAATAATTGGTTGTTTAGTTTAACAGTAATTATAAAATCCTTTCTTTACACTACAAATAAGTATTTTTATTTATTTTGCTTATTTTTCCTCCAATTCTAATTTTGATCGGACTAACCGAAATATCGGATTTGTGGGATTCGGATTGGCGAGGTTCTACTGTAGAATGCGCAACGTGAAAGTACTGTAATTCGCGAATTAGTACACGAGCAGTATATATGAGCTGATAGCTCGAAGAAGTGTATTTCATCAGTTCTTCTCTTCCTGATGGCAGAACATAACTAGACGGATATGATTCAATAGTTTGCAATCGAGTGATGCAAGATCTGTTGTAACTCAATGATCTCCTCTTCCATGATTTCCAACAAATGACAGGAATTTCTTGCATTTGGCGCTCAGTAGACCGAAAAAATAATATGATGCCTCTAACCCCCTAAAAAGGACGCCTGGTAAGTTGCAGTCCTCATCTGTGCCACAAAAATACAATAGTTATTTAATATTAAAAACCTCACAGAATGAAATGATTAGAGATTTATAGATTCATATTAATTCATAATATTTTAAGTAATAAATTGCTTTGTTACTTGTGGAAATCCCTAAATTACCTGTGAAAAAATGTTTTACTTGCTGAATCGAAAATAAAAGATTTAAAATATATTCTTAGTGAAGTGCCACTGACACAACATATTAACACTCAACCCCTCCATAAAAATAGATTTAAAAAAAACGGTCTTCTCAAGCAAGAAAATAGAGTGCAAACTTTAGTATTGCTTATTTTCACGTGTTTAAAAGGATGGTTGAGAAATAAACAATTGTATATTATTATTTTTTTAATTTATATAATTCTCAGTGTGACTATTACGTAAAAGAACTTGTCCCTTGTTTATAGTATTCAAATATTCATTTTTATTGTTTTCTGATTGGGGGACTGTATTAACCATCTAAACGGCGACATACGTTTGTATGAATTAAAGAAAATAAAACTATGGCATTTGTTGCTTAAACTGTCAATTACGTCTCTGAACATGAACCCAACGTAACAAGTTCCAAAAAGGTGTGAGATATTTTTAAAATCTGTTTCATTTGGCTCCGGCTTCAGCAATCTGCATCTTCTGAACCTGTGCTTATCGACTGCGGTTGGATGCGTAGGCCAGTCCGGCGCGTTGCAGGAGTGTCCGCGTGGGCCTGAGCGCGGCCTCTACGGGGGCGGGGGCGATGGCGCGAGGGGCAGCGAGCAGTGCGAGCGCTCAAGCGCTTCAAGCGCTCGCAGGGCGCGGTTCGCAGCGAGCAAGCATTTGGACGCAGCTTCATGCGCCGTAGCGGAGAAAGTGAGGACGCAAGCGAAAGGCTCCGGGAAATTGTCAACGTGGCCTCGATTGTTAGGCTCTCCAAAAAAATTGTCACGGCGAAGTTATGTCAAGGGAAAAAGTTATATATTCATGTTTATAAAGAATCAAATACAATTTTAATAATGCGATTAAAATTTAAAAAATATATTTCCGTTAACAGAAACCAATCATTAGTAACGAGATAAATCAGTAATAGATGGGACGTGTGTCTTTTTCAATCCAAAAATAAATGTAGCCTTACATACTTTCGATTATTATTGAATATTGAGTGATTTACCGGCAAAGGAAGCTGCAATGGATGGGAAGACGCCTGGCTATCAAGTGCCATGATGCATAAGAGATCGCATGTACTATCGTGGCCGGGGAACAGGAATCAAACAGAGTTTGAGGCGCCAGACGAGATCTGGTTTATAGATGGACTGCTCTGATCGGTGGTTTTCGTGTTTCCTTGAGATATCCCCTTCCTACCTCTCTCTTCACTCCGTACTGGTTCTTATCGGCATACGCTACCGCCAGGAAGACGTCACATGCTACAGAGGATCGAGTATGGCTGATTTATGGCTAATATAGTATGATTTATGATAGAGGGTATTCGCACAGAAATAGAGTCGAATGCAGCAAGAACAATGTGGCGATAAACAAGGCAATGCAGAGTAAAAGCCTAACGTATTTAGCATTCCTGACCAGCATACATACGCTCTTCGTTTCGTGAGCATTAGCATGTTATTAGCTGCTCTTCGGTAATCGCTGCTGGTTCAGCTATTGATAGCTCCGTGTAGCAATAGGATGCCTTCAGGATTTGTAATTACCTTCTTCTGCTTTGAATATTGTTCTGTAAATGAATTTTGATGGACATGTGAAACCTAGAAGCTGTGGAATAGTGCTAGAAGAGTACTGATCCTGATAACCAACACGATGAACCCATTATTTTGATATGCGTTTTTGCTTTTCAATGAAACTTGATTATTTGCAGAAAACATTTACGAGTTTTAATAAACCGAATGCGAGTACATTCTTAAATCTCATCAAGGTTCGCTTTACCTTGAGTCTTATTGTATTTGAAAATTCTCGTTGTTGCCCTTGTATTTTGTGGTTCACCGTCACTATCCCATTTCTAGTAAGCAAGCTATCTGTAGCAAAGAGATACTGGTGCTAACCGACATCGGTATCAATGAAGTGCATTGGAGGAGGCAAGTAGCACAATCGCATCTTTGAGCAGCGTTGGCAGTTACGTGGGGAAGGGGATCGCGTCCCGCCTCGCCGCACCGAGTCGCTCCCTTCCCATCCATCGCTTGTGTACAGTTCAAATGCGAGGCGACGCCACGAGGGCCCCGCGGAGCGCGCGCAGGCGGAGGCGGGGGGAGGGGGCGGTCCTATCGGCTCCGGAACACCTGATAACGCACCCCGCGCGCGCACTTCCTTCGGCCAGGAGCGCTCGATAAAAAGGCGCGTTCCTCGGCGCGTTTATCCTGGCGGGCGGAAGCCGCGCTAATCGCCCGCCCTGCCGCCCAAACGCGCCTGCGCTGAGGGGGCAGCTCGCGACGCTGGCGGCTTTGGCATGGCTTTTTTTTTGTCTTCTCTCCCGTGGATATCTTCCGAGATTTCGTTATCCTCATCACTTGTCTACACCCTCACTGGTGCCTTTGTATCTTATTCCCAGTTCTTCCCTGAAATTGATCTCCGAAATGTTAGTTGTTTCTTTTTGTGTTCTCCGTCCCTTCCACTTTGATTCCCAACTCAGTCTTTTCTGTACGTGACCTTCGACTTGATTCCCCTCTTATCCTACCCACTACTCTCGTCTCGACTGTCTAAATCGCTCCTGGTCACATGACTTTGCCGTTCTGGACCTGATCAGCCTAGATCGCCCTCATGTTTCGACAGAAGTCGTTCCTTGGTATTTCTTAGTATCTTCTTGAATTTACATTGGCGAATATTTGAAAATTATCTGATATATGAAATGCAATATAGAGTATATTAAACTCAAGGGCAGAACGTCTTGAAAGGGCTCCGCATGTAAAGAAAAGGAAAATGATTAAGGTAATCCGACTTTTAAGATCCACTATTTTAATGTACATCTGGACATGCTGCAAGAATGAAATTATAATGAAATGTTCTTAGATAAAATGAGTTAAGCAATAATAAAATATTCTTTTAATATTAGGTGAGTGATTTGCTTTGTATTTATGTATTATTTTTGTCATCACACTGTTGAAAAGGAAAATATTATTCCTTCCATCTTTGTCAGGATGTGGACTTTTACGTACGAGTGAGAGCACGGGAGAGAGCGTGCACACACTTCAAGCCCTTCCACTTCCTTGCCAACTCAGACATGTTTTCAATAGGCCTCAATAATATTGTTTGCTTGTTGTTGACGTGGAAATTGTAGCAGGATTCTTAAGGACTAAGAACACAACTTATAGGATTGTACAAAATAAATAAAATTCTCGATCTCTTTGGAAACATGCCAAATAATTTAAATTTAACTTCCCTTAACTTGATTGATTAAAGTTCCTGTTTTATAAAGCGAATTTATTTGTGTTTTACCTGCGATGGTTTAAATAAATATTTTGAACCTGAAAGCAATCATACATTTGACTTCTCTAATATTGCTGCCGCTTAATTGGGATTACAGGAATGACATTTCCGGTTTCACATTCAAAGATGTGCTCATCAGGTTTACAAAATTAGTTGAGAGAAAAATACAGAAAAATTAAAAAAAAAAAAATAAAACAATCAGAATGTATATTTTGATGAAACTAAGCTAAATTGTAATGTAACATCCCGGCATTCTACCCAGCACCGTGTGATGGCTTCATAAAGAAGCAGAATCAACCAATACATGTATTATACAGATGAAGTGCGAATGTGGCTATTGACCGAATTAGCTGATTAATGATCACATTATCCGGAAGGGGAAGATAAACCGAGAAGTAGGAAGAGCTTTGAAGCATGCTACTGACTTTATCCGAACGAAGTATCCATTAGGAAACCCAAGGTAGCTAGGGTTGGTGAAGTAAGGTACTGTGTGTGGATGAAAACAGATATGCGATAGACAGGGATTAGACTGCTGGGAACAGTTTTTATGGCCACTAAGGGACAAGGGGTGTAATTTCGGGTTCCATTGTCAATGTGTCTACTTACATGTTGCCACTGAAACGTAGCCATCGCTCTTTGACTGATACCAACATTAGCCGAAAAAGTTTGAAATGATTATTCATCGTTATTCATACAAAATTAATTACACCTTCTAACTAATTCGCGAATCAGCCGGGCACTCGTAACAAGTCATAATGTGGTCTTTGTAATACACACACATCAATACAAAGAGGATAATTGAACGAATTTGCTACAAATGTATTTTCATTTACGACCATATCACTGTATATTGACAATGAACTAGGACTCATACTGAAATATGTATCTTTAATTATATTTATAATTAAAACTTACCTAATCATATTTTCATGTAAATACGTATACCTGAATGGGCGCATATTTGGAACGTATACCTGAATGGGTGCGTCAAAAACCAACCGCTAATTTAAGCCGGGCTTCCAGACGAAGCACAGATGTGTAGAAACAGAACTTTAGACATTGAATGCACCAAATGTAGTCTGTAGTCAGCAGAAGCGGATCGCAACCGGTCGTCAAGGAGTAATTGCACGAGTCTCGAATGCCTCCTCTTAACTAATTGCACATATACCCTCTGTTGCTAACCGTCCTGAAAGCGGGGTTGGGTGGGGGGTGGGGGTGGAGGGGAAGCGATGCCACCTTTCCTTCGATTTTCTGGGAAGCATCGACGCAGCTCTTCGGATTGACTGATCGAGATTCCGTGTACGTCAACTACTTAGGTCATTACTCCTATAAGTGTAGTGCATATTTTTTCTCGGGAGGTGGCGGTGGTTTTCCCCCACTGTATGGCGAGATCCGTCTCTGATCTATAGTCGGGTAGCGAGGATTTCCTCTACGAGGTATCTCCCACCAGTGGGGCGCCACCCCTGCCGGGACAAGCTCTACGCTCCCGACCGGTCTCCAACCGTGTGGTAGTGTAATCCATGTTAATGTAAGTGTGGGTAAGGGATGAGTATAAAGGAAGCAAGAGGTAGGAAAGATCGCGCGCGGTCCGTGGACCGTTTGTTAGAGTACTGCACCGGCATTCGCCTGGTGTTAATCGGAGAAACCACGGAAAACTCCCGATCAGAGCAGAATTCGACCTACCTGGCAAGTTAGTGTCGGGTCTGCAGCACATCATTTGCTGCCCTGAGCAATCTCTCCCCGTGCAGCTCTTGCGAGCTTTCTCGGTTTGTCCGTCGCGTTGCGGGCCGAAGGCGGCCGCCCCCCGAGGAAGGCCGTGAGGAAGGCGACGCGACGTTTCGCTTCCTGCGGGGGGCGTCCTCCGTGCGGCCCTTTCCTCGTGGCCGCGCGCGTGCGCCAGGCACGCGTGACTCACGCCTCATCCTCAGGACGCCACCCGGCGCGGCGCACGGCAGGGGTGGCGCAAGCGGAGCGGGGAAATAGAAGCGATCACGCGCCGGGCACGCCCTGCCCCGCCCCGCTCCCCGCGTCCCGCGCCACGCGCCCCGCCGCGCCGGCGGTGGAAATTCCCCGGCGGGAGCCCGCCCCTGCGTCACTCGCTCGCGCCCCCGACGCAGCGTTGCTTAAAACACAGTATAACCTCCGTTGCCCAAGGTAATGATAGGGATGGGGGCCACGGAAAATGGAAAAACAGGATAACGAAATATTACTTATTGAGTCGGACGTGTTACTTAAAATGTAAATTTTAGACATTTTTTAAAGTCACTGTAATCACAATCTTGTAGATTGTCATTAGTCATTTGACATTGTTCATTGTCATCTCATAGTAGAAGAGAAATCGTCTAGACACTGCTGTGCAGACAAGAAGCTTTCTCATCAAAATTCCATATGAAACACTTGTTCGGATTGCTTTCTATTAGAGGACACGACGCTGGTGTAGTTTTTTCCTCGCAAAAGTCACCTGCGTCACCTCCTGAGTCACCTGCGCATTAAACTGAGGCAAATAGCGGGCTCTGATCTCATAGTGGAGGAAAGTGTAAATTTTGCTACTGATTCAAAAGATATAAGCAATTGAATTTACGCCTTCAATGATATGTAATGTTCTCTGATTTTATATTATGTGACGATACAAGGAAATACAAGCGAGACACGTGTAAAGTCACGCGTAAGAAATTTCAATGGCCTACCTTCAGTGAAGTTCTTGAGTGATAGTGGTCTGCTATTCAGTGCTGCATTTGTTTTATTTGAACTACTGCCAATCAATGGTGTAGGTCTATAATCGTAACTTAATCTGAAACAGGGGCTGATGAAAAATGGAACTAATATACTCTATTCAAATCTGATAAAAGTGACAGTGCGAAATAATCGTCTCGTTATTACGGTGAAAAGTAGTAATATTTTCTAAATTAAACTCAGCTTTACTGTATTATGCTAATGCAGGCTCAAAAGTGTGTTAATGCATTACATACATACTAAAAAAATGAAATCTCGGTTGTGAATATCTGATGAATTATGAGTGAGGGGCAAGGTCTCTTAACTTTGAAGATAAATCTCCACGACCAACACGCTGACACGTATGCATTGGCGCTTTTAAATTTTTTGCTATCCGTTGCAATTAATGTATCATTTGATGTGGTGTCCTCTACGCAGGTTGAAATATGTTAATCGAATTTGTTATTAACCTTTACAATGTTCTTTGCAAATGACTTCGATATGCTGCAGTCCTCACAACAATTTAACCCTGTGATATTAGTTTATGAATATAAATTACAAAAATGATCCACATTTTGTATCTTTAGCGAACACTTGTATGTAATTTAATTTCTGCAATTTTAAAGGGTTACGATTAAATAGTGTTTCAGTGAGAGTTAATATCTAATTAATGTCAGTAAATAAAATGATGAAGGTACAATTATAATCATTGTTCCTGCCTATTCCAATTATTGTATTTGTGATTAAATAACAAAACCTTGCTTCACTTAACCCGAAGATAGGATATTTACGTAATCCCGAATAGTCTCCCGATTTATCTCCATTCTCGAGATCACAGCGCGACTGAGGCACATTCACATCCCTTGACGTGAATCTACAAATCGTTACGAAGAAAAAGTGAGCGACTATTCCACATCGCTGTGAGCGCCAACGAGACGTACACGTTTGCTTCAAATGCCTTGCTGAGATGTGCATATCAGATGCTATACCTATCGAGAAGACGTCCGATTGGCCAAGCCTGGCGGTGCCGACGTCGCCGCTGAGTCGCGCTTAGTCTCGCTTTGACGCAGACGGCGGCGTGCGCGGGGAGTGGCGTTGCGTGGCGTGGCGTTGCGTGCCGAGTGCGGCAGCGCAGCCGGCGACGCGACGTTGCCGGAAGCGATGGCGCGAACGGAAGCGTCGTCCCCGCCCCGCCGCCGCCGCCGCCGCCGCCGTCGTCGTCCCGTCGCGCAAAGGATGGCCGATGCCCCGCAGCCGGCAGGCGCTGTTCGCACAGCGTGTGCGCTTTACGAGGTCAGGCGGCTTTATGCTCTCAGGTTCACCCTTACCCACACGGGCTTTCCGTCAAGAAAGGAAACCGAAAAATTAACGTTTCAGAGGTACAATATTGATGATAAAGATTTTTTCTTAAATGAAATCTGTTCTAAAAATTAAATCTTTGAAAAATGTGATAATTTATATATATATATATATATATATATATATATATATATATATATATATATATATGTATATAATTTCAGGGATTGACAAAAGGATCCCAAAAAATAACACAGGTTTAATTTTCGGGAACTCTCTGATTTTCGAAAATTACAAAAGTTATAAATAATGCAACAAAAATACGTTGATGTAGCACCACTAGTTTTAAAAATAATAGGTACTGTGGGATAACGTGGATCATATGTCGTACTCCTTTAAATTAAACCTGCAATGTGCCGCAGATTGATAAAAGGAGAAAACCACTTTTTAGTAATTCCCGTGGACGTATCGCCACGCAAGTGTCTTGTGAAATGTCTATTCGTAATTCGGGGAATTCCGTTCTAGGCCGCGAAGCTGTCGGCCTATTAACCCGGGACAATGTAGTAGGTAACGAATGTTACAACTTTATCTTGTTTCATGCGTGGCATCACAAGCCATCCCCTTCGCCTGTCACCAACTGTGGCCGCACCTAGCAGTTGCACGGTGAATAAGCAATCTCGAAGTATGTGAGGGCTGGGAAACAACACGAGGTCCATTAGGCGACTCGTGACTCCTGATCACATTCTTGCAGCTGGAGGATTTCGGAGACCGGCAGTTTAGTGGCCTCTACAGGATTAGCATTAATTTCTCCCACACAGGAAGACAATGAAACTAGAAGAAAACATACCGAAAGTATTCTTAGGATTCATTCAGTCTGTGTTGCGTAAGCGAAGATGCCCTTCACTCGTTATTCTTCCATTCGTCCCCTATTCGAGTTTGGAATATCCCCCTGTGGAGAAAATGGCCATTTTGTACCCTATTACATTGCTTTTGTGCAAAGAATGATGTTGACGAATGGAGAATGACGTTAGCCAGAAGTACTCCAACGCGAAGAGGTGGGCTTGCGTCGGCGAGGGCGGTAACACGTGTGTTGATTATACCCCCCTGTTTTCGACACACGTGCTTCGGCATGATGGTATCTATGTTTTTGTGCACAACACACGGAGAATTCTCGGGTGACCTCCCTTCAGTGGTTCCTGCGATCCCTGGCGATCTCCCCTTCCACCCACGCAGATGGAGAACACACTCCCGAAAGAAAAAAAACAATCCCGGTTAATGGGATCGTTCTCGTTGATGACGACAGTTGACGACGGAACTACTTTTAAATTTCGATTGCAATTACAATTTGATTTTTGGTCGAACTTCTGGCTTCCAGAGAGAACATCTAATAATAATGGCTAATCCGTCGAAAGCTAGTTCATAGCTAGTATATATAAGTAAAATCGTTAGTAATGACACCGCTTTCAGTTCATTTATTTGGAAGACCAACAATACCTCACCAAAAAGCTAAAATAGCATTTTATATTGTTATCATGAATGTTCACTCGTCAAGCTTTCCGAAATTAATTTCTGGCTACCGCACTGCCTCCAGCTACTGGAATCGGACTTCTAAACCCGCTCATTCAATTTGTATGTACTTAATCTAATAATGTGTTGGACTCGTAATCACACGTACGTAAAGTTCATATATAATGTCATATTATATATATGTATGGTATCATGAACTCGTGACTCAATTATTCTAACAAAGATCTACGCAGGCTAAAATGAGGAAGTTTCAATTAGAGGCAAAAGTGAAGTTTGTATGTAGTGTATTAGTCATGAATTCTCGACAGCTAATTCAAAAAAATATACAAATGAATCTGAATGAGGAAATTAAATGTTTATTTCTTTTTACTTCACTGAAGAAATACCAACAACGTTAAGTAATCTATTAATTAGCAGTAAAATTTAAAACTAAGAGTAATTCTTCTTTTTATCTTTTCATTCACAAAAAATGTAACTCTAATGCCCACATTGATCCATATAGGTGTGACTATTCAGGTGATTTTAACTATTTTTTAGTCAGTAGCCACGGAATTTTTTTACGTCGAGAATTTTATTTTTCTATTGGCATTTAAGAAAGTTTTCCGAAATCAAGTATTAAGTTATCTCCCATCGTATTGACCGTGAGTCATAGTTTCAAACTAATCGTTCTTCGCGATTGTGAGTTGGGCGTTTGATAAATATCCATTGCCACGCCCCGTTTTCGTTTTCTTTTTGGCACCCATTTGAAACGTTTCGGCGCGGACCTTTGTCGGTTATAATTGACAACTATCATGTCATCTCGAATTTCTCACTGCTTAATACTGATGCGTTTGCTCTGTCGCCTCGTCCCAGAATTTCAGAATCGTGGGAAGTATTGTCAAGACTGGCGAGAATATCAATATTTTATACATTTGAATTAGTGTATATTTAAAATCCGTTAATTCACTACTTTAAGTCAGGAGTTAATAACCTCAAAAAGGGGAAACAAGGGTAACAGATTTTTAGAACTTCGCAATAACAAACCGTACAAATTGCCATTTATCAATGATCGTATATCTAATCACAAATGTTACAAAAGTACAAATCAAATCATCAGTTACAGTGCTCTCTGGTAAGGATATAACGTCGTTAATGTCTTGCAAGCCCCCCTCACAAACTGTCAATTACCAATTAATATTGCCAGCTTGTTTAATTAAAACTATTGTTTTTATATAATCAAGCGTTCGCTATGAAAATATATCATGTTCGATTTTTATATGAAAATAACGTGGAAAGAATAAAATTTCTCAAATCGCCAATTTCTTATACATGCCTACCTTGGAGATAATGGTAAGGTTCGAATTAAAAATATATAAAATCAGTTTTCAGATTCAAATGTTTGGGATTGTTATCGCAAGAATTCGTTCCTTTTTGATTTGTAATAATTTGTTCAGTTCTATTATAATGTAATATTATTGTACACTTCACAATCTGTAGTAAAAATCACACATCTGTAGTAAAAATTTCAAGAAGAACTAAAAATATTCTTGGTAACTGTGACTGGTTTCGTTCTTTGCGATTAACACACAGGCTGTATCCATATGCATTGGAGGCTCAGAATAGTAATTTGGGAATAAATAATTTTTAACATTTCTTTAAAGACATGACGTACGGAGCAAATTACTTGTTTTGAAGAGAAGTTGTTTTGAAACATGTCGACATGTGGTCAATAGAACAAAATGCCTACTCAATCACTGCCGGTGAGCGACGACAAAAACACAGACGTCAACCTCGAACAACATACGAAGATGGTTGGAAGAAGGGAGTCCACTTCGAATCGGGGATTGCTGAGGCTGGTGCAGAGACACTGAGTTAACACTAGCACAGCGGCGTTGGCGGAAAAAGGAACCCCGAACGAATCGCAGATGATTTGCGTTGTTTACTCAAGATAATAGAGCTAGTAAGATAAATATATAGAAACAAAAATGATCTTCATTTCGCTAATTTTTGCGCTTAAACCATTTGGTCATTGGATGTCAGGAGCGATACATTCGCCAGTGACAATCCCGTTGTCTTCTGTATCGTTGACGTCATTGTGTTCTTCTGCTGATAAGTCGTGTTGACCGCAGGGAGCGGTAGGGCTCCGTAAGAACAATCCAGAAACATGCGGAGGAGAAGTCAAGTACTCCTGCGTTGGATGCGGAGATGGCGCGCAGGAGCAGCTGAAACCCAGTACTCACCGGCTGCGCGGCCACGGCGGCTGCGGCGTCGCTGCTGCGGTCTGCGTCGCTGGCGGAGCTCATATCGCGTGCGTGGGCGGCGCGCGGCCGAAGCGAGGCACGGCGATGCGCGCGCGACAGGGGGCCGAGCACGTCTGCGGAGGCCGCGCCCGCCCGCGACCGCTGGCGGCGGCGGCGGCGGCAGCGGCGGCGACGCAGGGCGCGACGCCTGATAACGCAGCCAGGGGTGTCCGGCGCGCGCCCAACAGCTGGCGGAAGGGCCGGCCAGGGGTGTCCTGCCCGCCGAAGGCCGACCGGAGGTCGCTTGTCGCCCGCGCGGAGCCCAGCCCCAGTCCCAGGCCCAGTCGAGTGCGAAAGGGCGAATGGCAGCTGATAAACGCCCGGAACCGTTTGCTCTGGAGCGTACTTGCGCCGGCGCGACATTTCCATCTCTCTTACCCCCTCGCGACGGCTTAATTGCGTGTGCTCTTTACTTTCTGGCTTTGTCTATTAATTATCTGTGCGCCCTCAATGACGTAAACACAAGTGTGCGTGCAACTCGGTGAAAAATTAAACGAGGAAACGGGCTGATGGAAGATTTCCATGTGGTTCCTGAACTATATTTCCCCATTCTTTTCATTATACCGTTTGCTCTTCATCTTCATTTCAGTCTTCATTCAGCATCCTCCGTTAGGTCCATCGTCATTCTTCATCTCAGTTGCATTTTTGCTGTGTGCCCGCAAGACATGACGAGTTAACGGGTTGCGTGTTACGGCGTTCGGACCACTTCTATTTGGAGATGAATACTCGGTTCAGTATTTCTTCAGTTGCGTTAAATAATTTGAGGCAAAAGATCTCATTAGTTCGTAATAGCAGAAGAAAATTAAAATCAAATTGACAAAATCAAGTTATGTTAAATGGATGTGCAGTGGAGGCCAATACATACTAGGTGAACGAATGCTTATGATATTTTTGAGATTCAGATTACATTTATTAAACATCAAATGAAAACAATAATTTGTGTAGAATATTCGGTAAAACGGTGAAGTGAAATTGAAGACATTGTACTTGTATCTATACTTAATAATATTTCTTGTGTCTAAAATTTAACAGAATCTAAGAACATTTTATGTTGATATTTTTATTCATCTCAACATTTTTTTATTTTCTGTATCGTTATTAGAGTAGAGTTTTTTGAACTAATAAGGTTGGTAGTATCAATAAGCAATAGAAACGTAGGCTGAAGATTAAAAGTGAGAATTTTCAAGTAAGTCTTGAGAAGTTTTCAATTCGCTTCTCAAGACTTACAAGGAAACCTCCCTAGGTGTTCAGCGGATATTGACTTAAGATATATTTTAGTGACTTGTTTTCAGCCTACAGGAACCTAAAATGGCGGTATTGTTGGGAAGGGCTTCACGGCCGTAACACCTCACATGATCCAGAGAAAACTGCGCATTCCCCAGCAGTGTAGCAGGAATCACTTGGGGATCATATGACGTACCTAGGTTACGAGAGAGAAGGAAATTTAAGAAGTCAATTCGATTATACTCTTGATTGCGACAGTCAACTATACATTTTGAGAAATTATTTTAATCACTAGATCTTTCTGTGCATTTGGTGATTGTTATTTGTAGAGAATTCGCTTACCTCACCGTTGTCAACCAGTATCTTCTTCCCTAAGAAACTTTCCATCTTACGGACTAATTACGAAGTATTTGCTTTTTAAGTTGTACACATTTAAAGTTAGGTTTTAATCAATGTATGTTTTGGATATTATACGTTTTTATTGAAAGTTATGTTTTATGCCAAAAAATTAAAATATTTCTAGGTGACTTTTGTGCAATACTGACACTTCTCTGAGTTGTCATTGTAAACGCAAACCATTCGTGAATACTTTTAACTGGCATTCGAACAATGTGATATTTAGCTTTTCAGGAGTAAACACTCTTCCATGTTCTATTTAAATCTACTACAATGCAAAGGGGAGGAAAAAATAATTTGGCTCTCATTCAGATTCACAACTTCAATTTCTGAGTTCTATGTTTCAAGGTTCTAAGAATTGTCATTGGTGTTTTTAGGTTCTTTTGAACAAAGTACGTCTTGTTAGACCATGTAAAATTTATATATGTTACTTTTGTTGGTAAATAAAATTGCAAACAACATTGGTGTGTTGAGCGTATAGGCAAAGCTATATGGATTGTTCAAACCTTAAAATGCGGGTTTAACTAATGGCTGACATCGAATATCTTAATTTCTTCTCTTACAAATATTATTTCCAGTGACTTTATCAAACAAGTAAAATTCTACTTTTGTCTAGAAATCATCTCGCTAATGATGACGTGCCGGGTTTTGCTCAGTCCAAGCGAAAATTCGCCCACGATATTACATATAGAATACCCTTTAAAATCCCGCTAACTCCCCATTGCTCCGCGGCTGGCCTCCGATGGCGTCGGGGGCGAGGGCCAGCCCTGAGGACGATGGCGCGTGTACACGCGCTGCGGAAAGACGCGCGATTACCGCCAGCCGGCGCCGCCCATCTTCCGCCGCTCCTCGCCACGCCTCGCCTCGTCCCGCCAGCCACCTCCGCAGCCCGACACAGCCTCGGACGCGGAAGCCATGGGTCCACGGAATTCCAATTCTAACTTCCTTATTATAATTTAATTTCTAACCATTTGTATTCTGTTTATTATTCTATTTTATGATTTAGTTTTCTTATAAATTATTTTGTATATAGTGTGAGATATATGTGTGTAGTAATTAGTGTATATTATGTATATATATATATATATATATATATACACACATTTTCGCAGAATAATTTTTATAACGATGAAATTCCAATTCGCTCCGTTTTTCGCATGCGTGTTTGTACTGCATCTGTACGTCCCTCTCTATTTTATTATTGAAGTGAACATTCTGTAATAGAGCGCGGTAGAGCAAATTGGCTTGAATATGATGCAAAATGAAATGCGTATGGTGGAAGAATTTTCGACTGTAGCTAGATAGCTAGGTCGCATTCAGTTGCTGTCTGGAGAAGGATTCTAGGGGCCGGCTGCTCCTATCGATTTTTCCGTGGTTTCTCCGATCAATTCCCGGCGAATCGGGCCACAGACCGCACGCTACCTTTTATTCTTCTTCTTTGACCTATCGTAACTCCTTGGGTACTCACCCTTAAACGCACTACACTTTCACACATGCCGGGAGATGGGAGCTTGTCCCGTCTAGGGTGGTGTTTTGCTGATGGGAGATACCTGATTAGAGAAAACCCCGTGTCCCGTCGGCGCCGGATCTCATCAATCATTGAGGGAAGATCGCCGCCACCGCCTCAGGAAAACATGTACTACACTTATGGGACTAATACCCCCCCCCTACACACACACGCGCGCGCGTAGAATCACAAATCATTCAAACGAATGGACGGTCAGACAAACATGTTGCTGTGAATTGATTTTTCGGTATCAAGGTCCGATTCTGGCTACCCAAAGTATGAGAGGAAGTAATTTACTAAACAATTGTAGTGGTCAAATAAAAGAATTTTCACGGTGAGCTTAAAACGCTAAAAAATTATGTGTTCAGTTAGTATTTAATGAAACCACACAAATACATGAAATAATAAATATGAATTTCAGTAGAACCTATTTTAAGGTTTGCATCATTTGATTCATTGCATAGAGTCCTACCTTATTAGAAATAACGTCATTAACTATTCAAGGAAAAAAAATATTTAAAAATTTTATGAAATATCAGTGAACTGATCGTGACGCAGTGCTTAAAAATCAGTCTCCTTTACCGCGTCTTAAAAAATGACGATAACGATTTTCTCGAGTTATAATTTCTTTTTAGGTTTCTTACGACTTGTTCCTATCAGTTTTACTTGCGGGGCTCCAGACGATCGCCCGATGTACCCATGGCTAGCGCCAGCACTGGAGACAACCGATTTGTCACAGAATCACGACCATATTGTTATACAACACACCAAGTTCCTTCGAACCGAATTTATTCACAGACCACTCATTCTCCTCCCCTCAGACATCACTGCCGCGTCGGCCCTGTTCCATCTGGATCTCCATTCCGCTGCTATAACCAGTTGTCACTCAACACAGTGGTTACAGCTCACTTTATCAGACAGCCACTTGCGACATGCATGCAACTTCCGCATCGCTCGACACGATACGATTCTTAAGAACTAACATTGTTCTTGGTTCGTAAATAATTCATTCACTCGAGACAAGTGCGAAGTATGTCTTGTTTGGCGATATTTTGAGACATATTCTTTGGAATTTATTTCTTAATGTGATGTCTGATTCTACACACGGAATGGCAAATCTCATTCAGCGCTAATGACAAGAAATGCTTTTCAGCCTTCGTCGTAGTGAAAAAACAGGAATGATCATTTTCAATTAATACAGAAGTATCTTACTCTTAACTCGGAGAGAGATGGGATAATTATTTTTTCTAAAATAAAATCTCTCTTTTTTAAATAACAGACTAAACGGTTTTACTATTATCATATAGTAGTCTATGTAACTTTCATTAGTTCATTTGTCTTAAGTATGCTGTTGACTGATATCGAATCAGGAAAATATCGTTATTTACTTATTTTAATTCCTTTCATTGTATTATCACCAGAGTACCTGAAATGGAAATGAATCGTAAACATTATTCAATGCATTGAATAGAAATGTAATTGAATAGCTGGCGTGAAAATTAGTGCAATAATATAATTAAATACACTACCCGCATGATTAATTTGTTTAAATCTATTCGCCGTGTTTTTATGGCCTCAAATCGTATTTTCTTGTAATGTAAAATACACGAATACAATTTTACATTAGAAAGTAATTTAAATAAAGTGGTTTTCTGTATTGGCAATTCAGTAATTATCATCGAAGCCAGTTTATCTTGGCACAAGATAATTTCAATTAATTAGTATTGCATTCGCATGGTTGAATCCCTTTCTTTGTAGTATATTGCTGTCTCTTCTGGCGTAATTTGCACATTCGTAATAGAGTTAGTCTACATTCTTTAATTTTCTTCAAGATTGATTCATCATTTGCGACACACAAATTAAAACCAATGACTTCGTTAATGCTTATTATTATTATTATTATTATTATTATTATTATTATTATTATTATTATTATTATATCCTTTG